TGGTCCTTAGACGCGTGTTCCCATACCAAAATCTTTACATACTTTGGGATTCACCTCATCAGACTGGCACTGTCCTTGGCATGATTTCGAATGAGACGTTTCTCTCTTTTCTCCCATATTCTCCTGTTACTCTTTCGCATTCATCGCTTGCACTCACTTTTTATGTTTGTGACCATGCTCTTCAAAAAATAAATGATAATTGTAGTGTTTGGCTGAACCAGTCTCTGTTCGGTCCACACTCAGTTTAGCTTGGGGTTTCCAGCTTCATTTGTTTTTTGCAGCTGTTCAGAATGAGCATCAGGTCAATCTGTCACCTGTTACTGTTTGATACCCAACTCTTCGACTTTTTTCTCGCGCTGAATTTTCGTACTGTATCCTTTTAAGCGTACGTCAACAGCATATCTCTCACTTGAAAAATAAACGGTAATTAAATGAACTAAAGATGTATGTATGCGTGCGTGCACGCGCGTGTGCGTACGTGCATGCGTGCGTAGATACATATGTATCTGTGTGTCTCCAGTAGTTGCGGCTGCTCCAATCTGGGCATCCTCAGGAAAGCCAATTCCGTATTGACGTATGCCCCTGCGACGAGAGTGGGAGGCGAAAATATCAACACGTGTACCTTTCGAACTCCCTAACTGAGGATTTGTCTTCAACGGTGTGAAAATGACCGTCATCTACGCTTAATCGCCACGCGGGTGCTAGCTACAATAGGCAATTGCGCTTGACGGGATAAAAGCGTCTTAGCGGTGTCCGGTCAAAGACATAGCACAGGCTTCATATAACGGTGCTCCCATGCTACAATAGGCAATTGCGCTTGACGGGATAAAAGCGTCTTAGCGGTGTCCGGTCAAAGACATAGCACAGGCTTCATATATGAAACGGTGCTCCGACTAACGCTGGATGATGAAGCGAAGCACAACTTAGGCATCCATAAGTCGTCTAACCAAGACCTCTAGTGTTATTCGCATCCCCACATAAACATGACCTATACAGATCCCAACTGTTAACTGTAACTGCTAGCATACTCTTCGTTTCTTCGGTAATCCAACTGGTTTGTTCTCCCTTTTCTGGGCTAGTTGCCGCTACTTTATACGCTGGAAACATGGGACTTGTGAACCCTGCCCAACGATCCGTTCGGATGGCGATGAGCTGGTTTCGTTCAACTATGTGACTGAGTTGGAACGATGCCCGGAGTTGCGAGAACCAGATGCAGCATTCAATCAGCGAGTTCAACATTTGAATAAAAATGTGATGGAATTTCTTAAACGACTGGCTCGATTCTCTGTTCTGTGGCATCAAGATAAGGTATACTGTCTACCAGTCTTTGGCCGATATTTTCGTGTCTCCCCTATGGTTTCATTCACTGGGTTACCTTGTTAGTTCCACGAACCACAGCGTCAGGTTGCCGCAATGTCACTGCAGCGCATCTTCCGGATCTTGCGTTATTTTAGAGGAAAAACAACTCCATCGTAGCCTTTTAATTTTCAGAATGAATTTACGCCGCCTGGTGTGACCATTAGAACGCGGTCGTTTCAACTTTGTTTCGTACGGGCTATCCTCGAATGAGGCTCGCATGAAAAGGCATTTATTACTTTTACAAGGGTAAAGTTCCCCTCGGTTCAGCCAAACGCACAAACAATGGCAATTTTTTGTTGATGCACGGCCCACACTTTCGAGCCCAGCTGGTGGAAAAAGTCTGCGTTCAATGCATGAAATTTCAGAGTTTTCTTCGCTGTAATTACCTCCACGTTGTGCGCTCAGTGCAAAAAACCGCACCGTTATTTGCTTTCTGTTGTGTCGTGGGTGGTCGTCTATTGGCTACGCCTGCACTGAGCCTGCTAGACCATCATCATCATCATTGTCAGCTGTAAGAACCGCGTACTGGTCGTACACTGGTTTTAGCTGCCACAGTTTCGTTCACCGATGATTGGGGGGGGGGGCGGTAGGTAGCTGCGCATTGCACGCGCGAGCTGGTAAATTGGTGCATAAATCCAGCACTGCTAGACCACGCGATAAGAAAAAGGCAGAGAACTCGGGACACGGCTGTACTGTCAGGACAACACATGCAGAGTTTCTGCGCAAATATATGGGATGACTAAATGGCCAAATATGGTCGTTCACTTGTTCGTTCTGTACAGCCAATGGCGGGGTTCCGGTCGTGAACACCTTCAGCCCCACCCCACTGGTCTTATGTTGCTAATTCGCGCTTGGTGAGCTCCGCCAACTCACCTGCTATCCGAGACGTGTCGTGTGGATGGTGACCTTGGGGATGCGTCACTCTCTGCACATGTACTTTTTCTCATGTCTAGGCGCGTCCTGACACTTTCTACTCTTGTTTGCTGTTCGTAGGCTTGGGTCATCATGAACAAGAGATTCAGCTGGCTAGTCTCCCGTCAAAAACAAATGGTAGGCAAATGAGTGTAGTTTGTTAATGCTCTGTTCAGCTGTAGCAGCCTTTCGGTGCCATGCCACCCGAAGGTTGCACGAGGGCTGGGATACTGCCAGGTTGCCCAAGCCTAGACAGGGAAAGTCGAGAGGCAGAGGTCGGGTTCGAACGACGGACCTTCCGGTCAGTTAACCACTTGGGCCACCTCGCCCCCATGTTAATGCTCCACTAGAACCCAAAAAATCAGTTATATGAACGAGCAAACGGGGAGCACTAACAATATCAGCTTGTTGAGTAAAATTATTACAACAGGTGTATATGCGAACAAGGGACTCGTCGTTTTACAGGTACAGGTTGATAAATCCTGTTGCAAGTCCTAATGCAGGTTTCGTGTCTTCTTCGTTGGTGTAGCAGCGACACGTGTCTCCTGAATACCAGAGCTTTGAAGCGCCGTAAGCCCTGGGCGGCGTGCGTAGTTCTGTTGAGTTGTGTTGCTGTGCTGTGCTGTTATCCTATATGTGGGAACGTTTGCGTGTGTGTGGGTGTCAGCACATGACTTGTTCTTACCTTATCAGTCGGTAGACCGTCGATGTCAGATGAGTCACCTTTGTGTGTCGTGTAGGCAAAGAAGGCGAGTCTTGGGTNTAGGCAAAGAAGGTGAGTCTTGGGTTCAAGGGCTTGACTGTGAGCTGTGTAGTCAAGTAGGTCACGATTCTGTGGCGTGAATTGTGAGGGTAAGGAGAAAAGACAGATCTCGTGATCCAGCGAGTGTCGGTGACCTGTACGGTCATGTATGTGGCGAAAGGGTAGCTACAAGTTCACTAGTTTCGTGCAATTTGGGTTCATGGGTTCAGAACATAAGTTTGAAGGAAACTCGGGCGAAACCGATCGTGTTCTGTCGTGACAACTGAAACATGAGGTGGCCTTGTGTAGCATATCTAGTTGCTTAAAGTCGTCATAAACGGGAGATCCAACTGGGTTCCAGGTGAGCTCAGGTTGAAACCAAACTGGTATACAAATGAGTGCATTTTACTAAAAAAAAACGGTGATTTACTTTCTAAATCGGAAGATTTGCAACATGGACAAGAGCAGGACACTGAGACGAGCTTCATATTCAGATAAATATGTGTATTGTGAGCCAGCATCCTTTACAGCCTCGTTGGAAGAGCACTCGATCAGCTGTCCGGGCTTGAGGTTCCTTTCCAATGGTCTATCCTTCGTTTGCATTGTGTGTGCATTTGTTCCTACCGATACAGGCTTTTAACTGTTTCAGGAAAACAACTCCTAGTACTCCTCAACTAAACATACATGCATACATGCTGTATTTCCCACAGCAAAACGTCGTGGAAAAGTGGTTACACTTGCGTACTCAAACTACCAAAGATTTTGAACTCCGTATAATCTTTTTGCGCAATCGTTGGCAAAATTTGGATCGTTTACTTGGTCCGAAACGAATCATCTACGTGGGTGCAATAGCCCTGCGACTTTCTTCATTCTTTATGAGTGTGACGCAAAATCTACGGGACTGGATCCGGATCTACATGCGATATTTGTACGATTCGGCGGAAAACTACTACAATACAGCACAGAAAATGATTTTGGTGAGTGGCATTCAATTTCCCTTTGCATTCTTCCCCGTCGCCAATGTATCCCAACATTTCACATATATGGATACGAAGGCTGTTCATTCTTAGTGTACTTCACTGTTACCGATGGTTGATCAGTATGAATTGAGCAACGATCATAATCGGCAGTATAGCATCTATTGACTTCAACAATCGAAACTCTCAACAAAAGTCACTCCCAGCAGAAGTTGAAATGAGATTTCCTGGCCACCTGGTGAAATATCATAGAAGTTCGATTAGGGATGTTAGAATTCAAGTAAGGATCCCATCTTTACCGAAATAAAGAGATAACGGTTTCCGAAAATTATGCAGAAGTTCTAACCTATTGGGCTGTGACGAACTGATAGGATTGCGTATTATATTACCGCATTCCTGATAGATAGGGCTGGATAATTTTTGTCAGCAGATAACACATTCAATCCGAAACTACTCCCAGTATTTGGAAGAATAAGGCCTCGATCAAATGACTTAAAAATACCAACAAGTGAAAAACGAAAGCGGTGAAAATATGGGACCATTATTCCGCCCTAACTAGAGCAACTTCCATTACTTTTCAGGATATTTTTGCCTTAAGGCTTTTGTAAACATACTGGTAATTGGTTTATGGATAACATTTTCACTATGGCCTTTCTATTCCATGTTAAAAGTAGCCATCGACCTATTTTTTGGGATAATTTTGCTCACTCACTGTGCTAGTTCGCTACACAGGTTGAGACCATGATCCTGGTCTCTGGTCGATCGATATGAAAGTTCTTCCGACCGTCAGGGGTGACCAGGGTTTGCGTCGCTGAACTCCCTATTTCGTCTGTCCATAGCGGATACCACTAGCGTTTAGCTGAACGATGTGGCCTTCAGCCGTCATTTCAGTACACTCGAAATTCCTCGGTAAGGCTCGTATGAGTTTTATTCCGGCTGGATATGTCACGAGTTCGTGAATGCGAGATGTGTGTTAGGTAGATTGGTATGGCTGTGACCTTTCCTGCTTGCACTGTTGTCCCCCGCAGGCCAAACGCAAAGTGCTTCGCAAACGGCCAACCTCTCTGGTGGAAATGAAAGAACTTTTAAGCGTTATGGCAGAAATCCGTGGCGGTGCATGTGAAGTTATCGACGATCACCTGATGAAAGTTGCTGAACGTTTGCGGATAATTCGACTATATGGGGACCAGGTGAGGTGATCTTAGTTTGAGAGAGCAATTCGTATTTTCCGCCTAATATTTGATTGATTTCAGGTTTTATATCCATTATTAGTAGAAGTGATCCATTTTCCCAGACAACTTAAATTTATTTCAGAGCTAACCCTGACAGCACACTCGGCTAATAAGCATCGCACCTGGTTGTTTGAAACAAAAACCTATCCGTCATTTCGAGGTGAAATTAAAAAATAGGACCTCTGATTCTCTGGGGAGAAAGAAGTGTGTTGGCGGTGCCTGATTTGTGATTTCAAAATAGCTACGTATTTGCTTCTGGAACAACTTGTGTATAGATTATGGGTATGAGGGTCGGTAGCTAATTTGAGGGTACCAGTGTGTGATCGAACCCGGATGGTTGTCCTCCAAGACGTCGGATGAACCAATCGCATCCCCGGGGGACCAACACGTTTGCTTGTTCAAACGCGATGATTCAAGCTCATCCAGCACGCGCTGATCGAGCAGTGGTAAGACGCTACCTTACATTGAACCCGGATGGTTGTCTTTCAAGACGCCGGATGAACCAATCGCATCCCCGGGGGACCAACACGTTTGCTTGTTCAAACGCGATGATTCAAGCTCATCCAGCACGCGCTGATCGAGCAGTGGTAAGACGCTCACCTTACATATCAGATCCCCGGTGTTCAAGTTCCGGTACGGTTTAGGACATGTACTACTGATGAGCTTCAATGGTAGTATTCGTCTTTGTGACCGAAAAACCTCTCAAGAACACCTCATGAATTACGTTATTCTCTCCTCACTGATTTAAATGCAATCAAGGGTCATTCACTGAGAAAACTGGCGCACCTTGTGCTATCCTGCTTGTTCAACATCAATTTCACTAAATGAACAGAATTACCAACCTAGTCCTAAACGCATACATTCTTGTTCAACACTTTTCCAGTCAGCAAATGTTTGCTTTGATGAACAACAACGTTCACCCTTCATGGGAACCTTGGCAAATCTGGCCGAATCGTTTGTCAAAGACTTCAGGGCAAAGTTAGAGCACCACGGTGAACCGGTTTTCAACCAATGAGTGGCCTTATCGCATAGCCTGCATTCGCTGACAGGCAGGTTTTGAGAATTGCCTTGCTGGTTTCATACAGCATCCCTGAGGAGTAGGTAACAATGCGTCAACAAGTTTTTAGTGTAGTCCGATGGAGGGATTCGAAAAATGTGGTGTCAGATGAATATCCGAATGAATAACGCACTGTTAGTGGTGGAACTCTGTCACTCAACGCTTCGCCCTTCATGGATGTCTTCGTCAGACGCTGACTAATTGACATAAATCATCTGGGTCGCGCGATCGTGGGGTCTGCAGTCCGAAATGTTGTCTGACAGGCAAAACCGATATGGGTGTGTGCAGAATGGACTGAGACTAATGCCACTGTCATAATGTATTTCCATGTAATGTTTTGAGTAAGCCACGGCCAGGTAGCAACTTTATGAGTAGTTATCTGTAGAAGTTTTGGAACTGGGACTAATTTTCACACCACAGCGACTGTTGGCCGGCCGTCAAGCAACCTAGTGCGAGTAGAACGGAAGGAGTGGAACTGACGAGCCTGTGGAGGTCGGTTTTAGACCAGCCAGGTTGATATGTGATGGTGTGACGTAACCAGCTACCGATTAAAAGCCACATAGTCTCTCTCGCAGCTTAGGCAATTTGGCATGGCATGAACTAATCCGCACACACACCAACGGAAGCGCCCAGACCAGGAAAGAACAAATTGCAAAGCTGAACAAACTAATATTAAACTATCCCACCACCGCGTTGTCTTTCGTTCTTATTAACCGATGAGAATCTGTAACCGACATTCGACAGACACATTTAGTCATCTAGCTAGTAGAAATTTCGCTTGTTGGTCATTGGTTCGTCTTAAAAGTCAATCAGTTTGGTAGACCACCCACTTAGCCAGGTGGAGATTCTGTGTCCAAAGCGGCGAAATCTTACCCAGCACCAAGTCCACCGAATGTTTACCAAGACTTTCTGAAGCCACAAATTATCAATCGGTCTCAGCCCTTTCCCAATACGTTTAGCTTCTCTATACATATCCAAGTTCAGCATAGTAAAGCCGCGCTGTCATAATTTGGAAGTGAGTCCAAGTGATTGCTTGGCGCTAGAATAAATCTGGCGGGATCTGTAACCCATTGAGGGTAAAGTTCAACTTAAACCAAGTATTAATTCCAAAGAGTTATGATTCTCCTGGAGGATCGGATGAGCACTGGTGTGTTGCTCAGAACGATCGTATGCGGTCAGTCATGAAATCAGACAGCTCAGCCTGTTTGAGAGCATTCCCAAATTCCGGTTCTATACCGCTCACAATCAGACTTGAAGCGTGGTCTCAAGCTAAACTTTCACAAAATAGATGTTGTGATAGGTAGAAACGGCCCGATTTTGTTTTTACTCATTTTGCAGGGTTTTAATAGTTTTCTTTCATTCTCTCACTCTTAGGAATTCCTCGATGGAGTGAGTTGTAGTTCTAAATGACTTTTTGAATGTATATGAAAGTCGTTCTGCTAACACTAAGCTTGTGGCTTAGGTTGCGTTGCCAGCGTATCATCTCTACCATCAACGTCAGCTGTGAGAATCGCGTAGGAATAGCGTAGTGCTTCTTCCTGTGAATGGGACGTTTCCGTTACTCGTCTGTTTTTTTAGTTCTGTTGTACCTTTTGGTTTGCATTCCGAACAAATTGGATTCTGTTATGTGTAGGACGGTAACTAAAGCATTGGGAACTTCAGGTTAGCATCACAGAGACGTATCTTATCATTCCAGAAGTTGAACCATGCTGTGGATCCAGAATAGGCATGATCGATTTTGCTGCAGCGTTACGGATCGCGTTCATTTGTGGCCAAATAAAGTCACATTCCATGAGCTAAGACATCGCAAAATGTGGATTCGCCAAGCCTATAATGTGTTGTGAGCACCACAAAGAAATCGACACATCTTATGTAGAGATTATATGTAAGAAATACAACAAAGCACACCATCGGCACGCTGAATCGCCTCCGTTCCAGTACCGAGTGCCGGAAAAGGAGTCACCGACAAGGCGCACAACAGATTTAGTGCGAACAAGCGATCGCGAATGTGAGCGCGTTAGTGTGAAAATACAACGTCCTCAAGCTATTTTATTTGAGAGACACTGTCTGAACTTGGTCTGAACTGTCTGAATTTGATACAAGACTGTCGCGCGCTGCATATTGTTTGTCTGGTCAGCGTCCAGCGGAGTTGAGGGACTCAGTAGATTTCGGGCATTAAGTGGTTACTTTCAGGAATCTAATCCTCCTGATAAAGGTGGACCAAACGTGAAGCCAAGGCTTCAGACAGACAAGACATTCGGACCATGCGCCGGGAGATTTTATACAACACCAGGTGCATTGGGTACTGTACAAGTAGAAAGAATTTGAATTCCTCAGATATCTGTAATGTCTTATTTACTAGGGATCTTGTTTTAGAAGTTGTCACAGTATCAAAACGCCGAGTAGTTTAAAGCTGTATACAGCTGTGGGAGCAGGTTAAACATTGACACATACTCATCGTATTTTTGTCATTTTAGATCCCCGAATATATGTGGAACTGCACTTACACTCTCCGTCGTCGCTGGAACGCTATTTTGAGCTTGTCCGAAGGAATGGCCTACAACGTAGCACCATTCAAAGCTCACTTTGCTATTGGAATAGCGCAAGAGATCAAGGCGTTCCGCAAGAAAGTTCGTGCATTTGTTGAAAGGTTAGTGCATCCAAGTCTGGGAATGTTTCGGAATTAGAGAGACTCAGACGTGAGATTACGTGAGTTTTGAGACAGATGAAAGAGACAAAGACAGCGGAAATTACACGTTGATAAACATAAATGGAAACAAAACAGATAGGGGGGAAGTAACAACTAAATCGAGTAAAAGCACAATGAGCATATACAATCACCCGCTCACTGCACAACGTTTCAAATAAAGCTGATTGGAAAACGCAACAGATAACCAGAAAAGGAACATATTATCAAGAAGAACATGTCGATTCCTAGTCAAAATCATAATAACAAATCAGCAAATTTACCTCCAGATGAGCGAAGGAAACCCGGGAAAAAAGACGATCATTGCAACAAAATTCACAATGTTTAACACACAGAGAAAACCTAAACTAATCGAAACAAGAGCAAATGCGTAATATAGCAAGACAACGGTTCCAAAATCCCTGCGAAAATAAAACGTCGAAAAAATTATTCATCAAAATAAGAGGCGAAATTAACATCTCGATACGGATTTTGGTTGATGAAACGCTCGATTGATGGGAAAGTAAATTGTGAAGCAGAACGCATTACAATTCGAGGGTTGTAAACCGCTGTCAACATCCTGATCCATATGGGCGGCTGGCAACGCGGTTGCTGTGAATCCGGGAGACTCGGAATCCAATAGACACTGTGTGTGTGTGTGTG